GAATTTACCATATAGTAATTGTTAACATAGGAAATCTTTATTAAATTAAAAAGTTATTTCTAAACAAATCCAATATTACATCCATAAAAAGTTTACAATTTATTGAAGAAAGAAATCCCTAATTCGTCGATATTAGTTATACACTTCATTCAAAAAATCTAGCAATTCTTGGCTATATGCTCCCATTAGTGGCACTATTGACTTCCATTCTTCAACCTTTTCTATAATGTTTTTGACTTTGTAAGTTGCCATAGTGATTTGGTCAAGTAAGGACTCCAACTGGTCATGCTTTCTCACATATGTTTCTTTTATTTGCTCACATTCTTCATTCACAACCCCTATTTGTGTTTCAATTTCAACCACCACTCCATTTAGCATTTAGATGTGCCTTTACACTTCGAATAATGCCTACTCACTATTTTGTAGCTTTGCTTGCAACTGTCCATTTTCTTTTAAAAGTTGGGCCAACTTTCAATTAGTCGATGGCTGTTTTGTGTTTAGGTCAACAAATAGACTCTTTCATTCATCCTTTTCCTGTTCAAGTGCTTGTACTTCCTTTTTTAGTCTTTTGTTTATAAGTTTCAACTCTTCAGACTCCCTTTTTTAGGCCATTAAAGGACTTTGCTAGACTTTTCATAGATGTGACTAAGATTTTTCGTATTAAAATTATTTTATGACAACACTCCTTATGATAAATATAATTATGTGAATGCATGCATAGTAAAAAAAAGGGTTAGTATACACATAATATATACAAATAACAATATAATATATGCAAAGAACAACATAAAAGGGTTAGTATACACAAAAAAGCAATATATAAATTTATAAGCAGAATAAATATATCATTTTATACCCTATTTAGGGTTTTTTAACACAAGGAAAAGCAAGGCTCTAACCTAGGTTCGAACGCTTAGGGTTTATTGACATGTTAGGTTTAAAAATTTAACAGTCTAAGAGTTCTTAAATTGTTTCATCATTGTCCATTATAGACTAATAAAGCATCCAAATCCTTACCCATTATAGGTTACAAACAAAAAAAAATTCAATTTGAGTGAGAGTTTTTTGCTAGCCCATATAGAGACATGAAATCTCACAAAGGCATAGGTACTTTACTCCTTTATAAGGGATAGAACTCGGATGTAGAGCTCATGTTATGTATATGTAAATAAATGACAAATATAAATAATAAATAAATAAAATACAAACAAGAAAAAAATTCTTAAATTTATTAAGTTGAGCTTGGATAACAAGAAATCATTTACTGGCCTGACTCTTACATCCCTAGTGGAGTTGCCAAACTGTCATAATGTATAGATCCGTAGACTTACCGTTAGGCATAGACTTTAGAAGTCACCACCAATCTTTTTTATTTAAGTGCAGTTGGCCATCTAACTGAACCTATCCCATTTAAAGAGGAGTCCCAAACTTGATTCAAGTATCTTTAACAAATATATTCTAATCTACGAAATTAGATTTTAGGTTCGGGAGTGTGGTTACACATGAGAAAGGTTATAGCACCCTCATAATGTCTATTTAAAGGATGGTACCAATTTGATTTCAAGTTATCCAAGCCTTAAAATATTTTTATAATTTTACCGAATAATTTGATTATTGAAAATTGATTTTAAAATTACTCTAATAGTTTGGTAGCAATTTAAAATAATTTTTTCACCTTAAGAATATTCTCAAAAACTAGTGTCTCACTCTGAAAAAGTTCATCGTCAGATTCTTTTTTTTTTTTTTGTAAAAGAAACTTTCATTTGTGAAAACAATTAATTTTCAAAAATATTTTTTAATATGTTGGTAAGATTTTTTGTCAAAGATTATCCTCCAATATATTGGTAAGATTGAAAATTTATTTATTTGTGAAAACAATTTATTCTTAGAAATATCTTTCATTATATTGGTAAGACTTCCCATCCATAATTATCCTCCAATACGTTTATAGGATTTTAAGAAATATTTGTTTCAAAAAAATTCATTAAATCCTTCAATAGTTTGGTAAGATTGAAAAATATTTTTTTTGGAAAGCTTTTATTTTTAATTTTAAATTTGAAAGCAAAAAATCAATTAAAATAACAAAAATTATCATGCAAATAATATCATGCAATATCATGCAAAAAATATAGTATATCATGCAATAACATAACATATAAATTATAATGCAATTAATATCAATTATCATGCACTTAATTAATAATTATGCAAATAAATAATAATAATAATTAATAAATAAATAAAACATTCATAAATAATCTGACCATTTTTTTATCATATTAATTTACTCACAATAAAAACATAAAATAAAAATATGAAAGACATAAAAAAAAACAAAAGAAAAAGGAAAAACAAAAAAAAAGAAATAAAACTAAAATCAAAACTAAAAATTAAAAGCAAAAAGAAATGCCAAATCGTGTGATTTGGGTCAAGTCACCAAATGGGCCACATATGATCTCCACTGGTTCATTCTAGTTAGCTTTTTTGCAAAATGGCATCGTATTAGGTTATTATAAAAGCCTAAATTCCATGCTTTTCCTAAATCCAACCTTGAAGTTTCTCTTTTTAAGCCAAAACGCGCTAATCTCTCTCTAAAACATCTTACCATGAAATTCAATCGACCAAAATCAACCCAGATTCTGACATCATAAAATTCAAACGACATTCGAAATATTCAAACTTTTCTAAAAACTTGGTGAACCTAGAAAATTCAACACCCACCAAAAATTTCAAGTATAAACCCAAAAAAAATTCAAATCAAATTCCAAAAATTCAAGCAAAAATTCATAAAAAGAAAATCAAAATAAAACACTCATTAACCCGAAATCAAAATAGTTTCTTCAAAGACCCAAAAAACTGCAAAACAACATTAAAATCATATCAGAAAACCAAATTCAAGAATCCAACCTTAGAAAAATTCTTAAAAACCAACACAGAATTGAGCCAAACCCAAAACCCTAAAATCCTAGAACTAAAAGATCAAACCCAAAAATCTATGATTACACCTTGATGATTTTTGTTTTTCCCCTTATGATTTATGTCTTCCTCATTTTATAAGGATTCAATCTCTTTTAATTTGAAAAAATTCAATTGATTGATTTCAAGGATTGGATTTTTTAGTGATTTGATTTCTTGTAACTTTCTCTTTTCATAGAGATTAGAATTCCCAAAATCATAAAATCCATTAATCTGCAGTGATTCAAATTCCAGATTTGATGCCTAGATTTCAAACACGCTTTTTTTTTTTTTTTACTTTTTACTTTTTACCTTTGACATTTGACTTTTTTTTTTACTTTTAATTTTATTTTTTTTATTTTTGACCTTTTTTGAAAAATAACATTAAATAAAAAATGAGATCAAATTAAACTTAAAATTAAAAATTTTTTATTGGGCCTAAAGCTTCACAATAAGGCCCAAGTAATGGCTAAAACCTCATTTTTTATCCCAAAAAAAATTCTCAGATAAAATGGGATATCTATAGTTAGGCAACCAAAAGCCTACTATAATGAAAAATCATAAATCACATGAAAATCAATAGCCAAAAACATTAAAAATTTCAATAAATGTTAACAAGTAATATTTTAAAGAACATAAATAGAAGAAAATTAAAAGTAAAAAATCCATAAAAAAATTAGGCAACCAAAAGTCTATTGTGATAAAAAAATATAAATCACAAGAAAATCAATAGTAAAAAAAAAAACTAATATTAGAAAACTAAAAGTTTCAATAAATTTTAACAAATAACGATTCTAAAGAATATAAATAGAAAAAGTCAAAAGTAAGAAATTCATAAAAAAAATTAGGTAACCAAAACACTATTTAATATAATAAAATTAGGAGATATAAGTTTAAAATTTATGCAAAAAGATTTGGCATTATTAAAAAATATTTGAATTATATATATATAATTAGTTTAAAAAAATTGATATAAAAACCCTAAAACCAAAAAATGATTCGAAATCATGTTCGATTCAGTTCAAGTTTGAATATTAAATGTGTATATTAGATTCGATCAGATTTTAGATCAGAAGGTGAAAAATTGAAAAAAGAAATCAAATCGAATTATATATATTTTTTAATTTATATATATTTTTAAATTTTTATAAAATAAAAATAATAATTTTATATCAAAATTTACTTAAATATATTAAAATTTTATATTAAAATAATATATAAAAATTTAAAATTTAAAATTTAAAAAATTAATAAACCAAACTCAACCAAATCAATAAAATTTAATTTAATTAAATTTAAATCACGTAAATATTTGATTCGAATCTAAATTTAATTTTAAAAATTTATGATATTATATCACCCTAGTCTAGTCTTGGGTTTTAACTTTCCCTTACTAAAAGATTCTTTAAGTTTTGTCTTTTCGGCACGGAAAATCATTACAAAGAAATTCTTCCCAGTAAATAAGGTGAATAGAACAGACCCATGCACCCCTTTTCAAAAGTACTCGTATTTTATGTTGAAAATTTTCTGTAATTTAAAAAATAATTTGTAAGTTTTTATAATTAATTTGATTGGCTAGTTATACATATCCAATAAAACACAAAAAAAAAATTGAAAGAGCAAGAGGTTAATCATCAGCAAACAAAATTTTTAATCTAAAATGTAAGATCAAATGCCAAATTTATGAAATTTTAACATATAAGATTTAATACCGAACAATCTTTGTCGAAAATATATTATAAGATGAATTAAAAAGGAGTGAACTAAACCTACCAAAAAGCAACATTAAATTGCCCTGTCGATATATAAAATTTTTTAATTAGATCTACAAAGTTCATGGGACTATGCTTAAAATAAAAGAAAAAAGTTTGTGGGACTAATCACTAATTTAATTGTTAAAAAACACAACTTCCAACATTTAGTTGAATCATTCAGATTTTGACCAGAAAAACATAAATAATTGAAAAGAAAAATACACCACTTATTGTTACGCACATGGTAAGATGATCCGACATATTATATAATATTTAATGCAACTACATAAGCAAGCCCATTACATGCCCTTAGGTCATAACAAGTTGTGTTCAGAAAAGGAAGGAAATGGACGAGGCATTGCTAGGTAGAAAAGATCAGGAAGAAAAATGGAAGATAACATGGAGTGGCTTTGCAGAGGAGCTAAGGAAGGTGAGCTACATGGCGGTGCCGATGGTGGCAGTGACGGTGTCGCAGTACCTTTTGCAGGTCATATCGGTGATGATAGTTGGACACCTGGGGGAGCTACCTCTTTCCGGGATTGCCCTAGGTTTCTCCTTCTGTACTGTCACTGGCTTCAGCTTTGTTGTACGTGTTCTCTCCCTCAATCCTTTTCCGCTTCGTTTTTTTTCACTTGCAAATTTGCACTCATGCAGTGATGGATTTAAAATTTTTTTTAGGATGTTCACTTATTATATATATAAAATTATTGACTATAATCAGTTTTATCAATGAAAATGGTGTCCTAAAAAATTTTTTGAAAGTGTCCAACCAAAAATTTTCTTTCAAAATTTTTTGTTTTTCAAGTTTTAAGGGTGTTCATGAACACTTAATAACACCAATCCGCCTATAACTGTTACTTAGGATATACAGTTAAAACTGATGAACACATTCATATTTATCTTAACTAAACATATCATATACTCCTTTCGTTCCTTTTTTTTTCATTTTTTTGGGATATCTTTAAATTATGTTTTTTTTAATATCTAAAATTTTAATTTTTTTTATATTTTAAAATTATATAATATATTTTTTTTACTTTTTAACATTAAAAATTATGAAATTTTAATTTTATTAAAAAATTTAAATTTTAATATTAAATATATTAAAATCAATCTTTTTTTTTTAATTCTATAAAAATCAATCAATATCACCGAAAAAGTAATCATTAGTAATAAGAAAAAAGATATCAATGTAATTCAGCTGTACACGCGTCATCTTTCCGTACAAACAGAAAATTAATATTTAATGACTTCTAGGAGGAAACATCGAAGATATGATATCATGATCGATTTTTCTTAGTATTTAAACTTTTTGAATTTCACTACTTACTCAAAACATCTTTGGACACCGTATCTATCATGTTTTTGGCATTTTTTATATAAATTTAAAAGATATCTAAATGTCATTTCACAATAAAAAGAAGTCAATAATGATATGATTTGTAAATAAAATATTAAAATTTTAATTTTAATAATAAAAATTTAATAATTAACAATCTCGTATATAAAAATATGAAGAATTCATTTAACACAACTCAAAATATTTATTTCTACAACAATAAGTTCATGTATTTTTTTTCTCTCCAAGCAACCTATTGAGCTAGTATAGATTTTATTTTTTTATATTTGAAATTATCAAAATTTAATATTTAATTATTTAAATTAAAATTTTAATATTTTAATAATAAATCACATTATTATTTACATGTATATCTCAAATTTGGCAATACGTATTGGCATTTAGCAGTTTGTCTTCTTTCGTTAGTGCTCGTAACTCGTGGAACAGATTTTCTAATAAAATTCAATTCGGCTTTAAAGCTTGATTATTAAAATCAATAAATCCAAAGACGTAGTTGGACACCCAACTTTTAATTTGTCTTTAAGATTTTGTGTTATTTTAAGTGTTCGAGTTTTTTTATTTTATACATAAATGGGAATGGAGAAATAGGCAACCTCATATTCTTCCTTTAAAAAACAAAACATAGGGACCAACAATCTCACCTAAAACATTCACTAGGGTTTTTAATTTTTATAGTGTTGGGCAGCCATTAGTCAAAAGCTAAAAATATTGCTGTCCTTTAAAGTTGAAATTTGATGTGAAATTCATTTTGAAATCTTGTGTGCTGAAATTAAGTTTAATAATGATTTTTTAGATTGTGAATGAATCAAATATAAATAAATAAAAATATATTTATGATTTATTAGTTTATTTTTAAATGTGTTCAAATTCAACTCATATTTGATAAAAAAAATTATTTTTTTTTTGAATTCGATTCATTTAAATAATAAGATATTTATTTTTTATTCATATTCGATTCAATTAAGTTAAATAAATTTATTCGTAAATATTAAACGAATATGCTCATATATATAAATAAATAATAATAAATCATAACAAATTTAAATAAACAAATTTTAAACAAATAAAATTGACTTAAATAAATATAAACGAATCTTAAAATAGAATTAAAGTAAAAAATAAAAATATTATTTTATTATTGTTATTATAAATAACAATAAACGAGCAATAAATAAAATAAATTAATTTTAAGTAAATTTTTGTTTACAAATATAAACGAATCAAATAAATTTTTATTTGCATTCGATTTATTTAATAAATAAATATAAAAATATTATTCAAAATAGAATATAAGCAACTAAAGATTGAACATATTTATATATAATTAATTAAAAAAAATTTTTATTTACACCTCGGCAACTATAGACCCAAGTGTTTTACTCTTCCCATCCCTAATTCTGTTCCTATTCGGCTTTCACACGTATTAAAGAAAAATCATTTGATTGTCAATTTTTCATTTTCTGGTCACCAAGTTTTAATCGTTGTTTATTTATGTATTCAATTTTTAAAACAAATAAAATTTCATTTTTTACATATAAAGAATCTAAGTTGACCTACTAGAGTTAATAAAATTAATAAAATTCTAATAATTTACTAGTAACATTTAAATTTAAATTCTGTTATCAGTAACCTTTTTTAATGAATTGTCTGTAAATTTATTACAAATTCTCTCTAAAATTTACATTATGCCCTAATTTTAAAATAAAAAACTTTTCTTCACATTAAATATTTACATAAAAAAAAGCCAAATTTTAAGAAGAATCCAAGAAAATTTATAAATTCGAGGGACTGGAACTTTATTTTCACTTTATTTGTCCTGTATGTCGTTTGGTGAATCATTGTGATTACAGCCTTGTCTGGACCACAAACTTTATTTGCATTTAACAAAAGATTTGTAAATTTTAATGTGTAATTGAGCCAACTTTAGGTATCGTTTTCAGCTTTTTATTTTAAATGAAAAGTGACAACTGTATAATACTATATAAATATATATAGTACTAATTAAATATAATTTTTTTTTTGGAAGCTAGGATATAGTGCTACTGGTGTTTTAATTATGGGTCGACGTTTGCACAAAAGACAAAATGGAAGGGCCCAATTCTTTTATTAAAATTTTGGTACCACAGCATTGTCTTTTTTTTCTCCAACCAAAACAAAAACAATATATATATATTAGGGGCGAATAATAAGCATGGCTAGGAAGAAAGGCTCCCCAATAATTTTGAAAATTTTCCTTTATTCATATATAGATATACATATTTGTATTAATAAATTTAAATTTTAAATTTAGATTTTTTAAATTAAATGTAAAAAATTAAATTAATATCTATCTATTTATTTTACTTACTAATCATTAATGATAAACACTTAAAATCAATTGATTTGTAACAAATATTAACTCATAATTCATGTGAATTTAAAAAAAAATCAATTTAACTTTTTTAATTATAGCATCTACTGAGCAAGGTAATTTAATTTGAAATTTCAATTGAAATATTTTGAATGTAACATGCGTGAAATATTAAAATTTATCCTTTTTATTACAATTGTGTTTTATTTTGGATAAAATTGAAAAAAATAAATAAATGATCTCATTAATAGATTGATCAAATTTATCTTAATTCTTTTCGACATCTAAATAATTGGTGAATTGAGCCAACATTTTCAGCCATGAAAATCATCAAAATAAGGCTATGAAATAAGATGGAAGATGATCAGTTTGTTATACATAACTTGGTTGTCAACATAAAAAAAGATATATATATAGTTCAGATTCAATTGTTAAAGATTTTATTTTTTTAAAAAAAAAAGTTTAAAAGTTTAAATAAAATTATTTATTTGCTAAATTTTTTTATACTTTTATTTTGAATTAATAAAATTTAAGTTTTATAAATTTGTTATTTTTTAGTATATTATTACATATATGTTTTATGTTAATAAATATATAATAGTATAATTTAAATGAAAAATATATATAATTTTAACCTTTTAATTTTTCCCTCAAAATCGAACACCAAGATCTGCCACTGTATGAAATCCAAAGATGTTGAAATCAAAGTTTTTCATTTATATAATGTGGCATGAGATTTAATTACTCATGGACTCTAACATTATCTTTGATAAAAATTCACCAAGTAAGAATTATCTAAAGAGTTACTATAAAAGAAAATTATATCATGATGGCAACAATCCATTGTAATTAAACTTTTTTATATCTACAAAATTAATCTTGTTATTAAAATTCAAAATTATAATAAACAAAAAATAAATTTAAAATGGTAATTTAAAAATTTAATCAAAGAGGATAATTTAATTACTCATGGACTCTCACTTTATCTTTGTTTTATGAAAGTTAACCATAGTTATTTTAAAAAAATAATATAGAAAAATTCTATCATAAAGACACCAACTCTGTATAATTAAAGCTTTTTTTATCTATAAAACTAATCTTATTATAAACATTTAAATTGTAATAAATAAAAATCAATGAGAATTACAATTTGAAATTTAATCACATGCTTGTCCATTTTCCTTAATTTAAAAGATTTTTTTTACATTACAAAATATTTAATTTTTTTAGATTAAAAAAATCTATGATTTTACATCTACATAGAGTAATAATTATGTTATAATTAGTATAACATTTTATTAGTATTTTTTGAAATAAGTATTACATTGTATTTATTTGTCTATTTTAAAAAATTTATTATGCATAATGATGCAATTTATGGTATGACTAGACTTGTTTAAGGACTGAACTACTTGTCCAACTCTGAAGGTCTGCCAAAATTTAAGAGAATTTGGATAAAAAAATTAAAACATATTAAATGGGATTAGACATAATTTTTAAGTTTGTTTAAATTTAAGGTCAAATATTGACAAAAGATTTAAACCCCAAACTCGATCTGATCTGACATAATTTTCATATATATATAATTTTTTTATTTTTATATATATGTGAATTATATAAAAATTAATTCACATATATATAAATTAAAAATAAAAATTATATATTTTATTAAACTTAATTTTTACTTTTATATAATTTTTATTATTATTTTTTATATATACGCGAATTGAATATAATTCCATTAAAATTAGTTTAATTATTTTTTTTATTATTATATAAATTAAGTTTAATAGGTGAGTTTGAGATTTAATTTTTTTAATTTGGGACAGGTTTGAAAAATTTTTTAAAATTAAAATTTCGGATTGGATTGGGTCTAGACAAACATATATACTATTAATAACAAGTATGAACCGGTGCATGAACTAGGTAAACACTGCAAATGAGATTATGCTTGATTTTTGCAGTATTTCATTGTTCACAAAAGTTTTCACTCTCAATATGTGAATATGAAATTAGTGACACTATTTTTTATGTGCCAAATTAACAGTTTGGAATTGCTGGTGCATTGGAAACTCTATGTGGGCAAGCTTATGGAGCTCAACAATATCAAAAGCTTGGAACTTACACCTATTGTTCAATGATTTCTCTCATTCTAGTTTGTATTCCGATATGCTTGGTTTGGATATTCATGGACAAGCTGTTAATATTGATGGGTCAGGACCCTGAGATTGCAATGGAAGCTGGCAAATATGCAATCTGGCTCATACCTGCATTACTTGCCTACCCACTTCTTCAATCTTTAATTCGGTATTTCCAATGTCAGAGCTTGATTCTTCCCATGTTCTTGAGCTCTTGTGCAGCTCTATGTCTCCATATACCTCTCTGCTGGACTCTAGTATACAAAACAGAATTAGGACTTGTTGGGGCGGCTTTATCAACCGGATTAGTTCTCTGGTTTAATGTGATATTGCTTGGAATTTACATGAGGTACTCTTCATCATGTGAGAAATCCCGTGCTATCAACTTCAACAACATTTTCTTATGCATCAAAGAGTTCTTTCGCTATGGACTCCCATCTACTGTAATGGTTTGGTAATGTATATTTTTCCATCATTCTTATGTCTAGATTTGTTTGCAATTTCAAATAACTCTCTTTCATTCTGTTAATTGTAGTCTCGAATGGTGGTCATTCGAGCTACTTATACTGTTGTCAGGACTTTTACCGGATTCAGAGCTTGAGACATCGGTTCTGTCGATATGGTAAGCCTCTAAACCAGTAATTTTGTGTTTCAGAACTTGAAATCTTCAGTTCAATTTTTAATAGTTTTTTCCTTCTATACAAGTTTTCAAAAAGAATACTACTAATTATGTCTCTTGAGTTTTGCAATGAGAAGCATTACAATCACTTCATTACACTACTTCGTACCATATGGGGTCAGTGCTGCTGCAAGGTTAAATCCATTACTTTTCCTTCTACTACTGCAATACATATTAGAAATATGCGTTTTTTTCCCTCCAAAATGCATGGTTCTGTGAGTATAACTGAATATATGCCTCTGCTACTTTGCAGCACTCGAGTTTCAAATGAATTAGGAGCTGGAAATCCACAAGCAGCTCGACTATCTGTAATCGTTGCAATGATAATTGCAGTTATAGAGCCAATCATGGTGGCAATTGCGCTCTTTTCTTGCCGCCACGTTCTTGGATGCTTATTTAGCGATGAAAAGGAAGTTGTCAATTATATTGCAGAAATGATTCCACTACTTTGCATTTCAGTATTTATGGACAGCATACAGGCAGTACTTTCTGGTCAGTTCTTTGCTTTGACAGAAACTATGAGCATTGTGAATTAGATCAATATGACACAGGCATCTAATTCTTGGTTTCATTTTCTGCAAATTAGGTGTTGCTAGAGGAACTGGGTGGCAGAAAATTGGAGCCTATGTGAATCTTGGGGCATATTACCTTGTAGGAATTCCAGTAGCTGCTGCGCTTTGTTTTGCTCTAAATTTGAGAGGGAAGGGGCTTTGGATTGGAATATTGTCAGGTTCTACTGTTCAAGCATCGCTCCTTGCCATCATTACTGCCTTCACAAATTGGCGAAAACAGGTTTGATCTGTTATAAAAAGCTCATAGCAGATTTATTCTTCTGCCAAACCATGCATCGTTGAAAAACTTCATTGAAAATGGCAGGCAAGCAATGCGAGGGAAAGAATGTTTGAGAGGCTAATCACAGCAGACGATGAATCAGCTTGAAGATGCCCAAGAAGAAGGAAAGAAAAGGCAATGAGTTCTGATTTTTTGCATTTGGATTTGCGGCATTAGCTCTCTCAGTGCATATAATAACAAAATATATTTTAATTGTCAACTATAATGTTTCTCTTTTCTTTTACTGGTGAAGGTTTTTATTGTTATATAATTTAAAGATAAATTATGTTCTATTGGGAAAATAATATTAATAGTGCCAATCAGTGAAAATTTTCAAACGTACAAAAGACTAATAACACACACATTGGATCCCAAACTCTGTAGATATCATGATTTTCATTTTAATTATATTTTAAAAAATGCTCTTTAAAGCTTTCTTTAAATACTTATTCGATTATTTTTACATTTTTACAAGATTTCATTTTAAGTTATCATTTCATTTTATTTAATTCAAAAGATTACGTACTTTTTTTTAGATTGAATAAAAATAATTAAAAACTATTTCATTGTATGATGATTAATTAATTTCTTGTTTTTGCATATCATCAAAATTCTTTTAATTAATTAGTTATTTACTAATTAATTTGTAGAACCAATTAATGATATATATTGAATATTATATAAATATATAAAAACCAAAATCTTTAACAAAAATGAAAATTGTCCAATATGGATAGCCTATCTAATTTACATGTGGACAATTTTTAAAAAATTGTCATGTATCTTCTAATAAATTAATTACATTTATGTTTTTTTATTTACCTTAAATCATTTTCAATCAAATTCATATTTAATGTAATAAAATTTTAATTATTATTCTAATTGTAAATATTCAACTTTTAAATTACATTTATGTAAAAAAAATTTCAGTTGTCAATTTCTTAACCTACGACTTATTTATTTAATCCACCATTTAAGTTATGTTATATATATATATATATATATATATATACATTTAACATGCATATATATATATTATTTAAAATAATTAATAGATTATTCAATCAATTAAAATTAATTATCAAATGAATTTCATTACCATTATTACACTAATTTCAAAATATTTCCTTTTCCATTTCTCCCAAACAAGTTAATACACATTATGTTTGATTATTATAATTGCCAAGTATAAATTACTCTCAATTTAAAATACAATTATTGATCTTAATTTGGTTCTTAAATTCATTTTAATCAATTAGTCATTCAAAAATTACAAATCATTCCATAATTATTTATAAGACAACAAAACCCATCCTATAAGTAAGTGTGTTTTGGGTTGCTTAAGAAATAGATTGTATCATTTCAATATTTTTTTTCTCATCGTCTTAATATTTCTTTAGCCATGTAGTAAAAATAACTTAAACTTTTTTTTTCTTTGTAAGGTTTTATATGCAGGTGGATTAGATGTACAAAATTTAATATAATCAATTACTGCTTAAAGTTTTTTATTACTTTATTTGGTTTTGTATTAGTTTAGTTATTAATCTATTTTTTTCTTTTGAGTAAAACTCTTCCAAATTCATGCTTCATTGTAATCATATAATAAATTATGCTTCAATGTAATCAAATAATAAGTTACTTTTTGAAAAAAAAAAATCATTTTGAAAATACATTCCCTTTAAAATAATCTATTTGGGTTCCAAAAAATTAAGCAAAATTTCTTGAAAATTTAATGATTTAGATTTTTTTAATGTTTTGGCTATTGCTATTAGTTCTATTATATTTTTAATTATAAATATATTTGTACATATTATTTTATATTTTCTTGTAAGTTTTTGTTATGATATTGATTTATATATCAAACCCATTATTCTTCACTTTTTGGATCATGAAACAAGAAAGCAAGCTAGATGGTAGATTAAAAGAAAATGATTAACTATCACCTATCCTATCATAAGTATTGCATATGTTTTTTTTTTTTTGTATGAAATGATTATAATTTAGATTTTTTTTTAGTCATTAGATATGTTTGTTACTTTGATATTATCATTTTCATGATTTACCATAAAGTGGAGCTAATTGTTATCCAAGCATAAATAAAAATTGTTAAAAGTAGTTTTCAATTGATTCTATTTTTTATTTTCCATAAAATAGAGCTAAGTATGTCTAAGCGTAAATAAAAAATTTCATTGATTCTATTTCCATTTCCTTTATAATTTTAGGAGCATTTATATATTAAATAAGCATTATTACTAATTGATATATTTTTGTTGTAATAACACTTAATTCTAAAGTTATTGTTAGTCAACCATTAGCATTTAATATTTACATGTAACTTTATTTCAGAAAAAAAAAAAAAAGAAAAGAAATCTACATTTTACTTTATCTCAATAAATAAGATTCTTGGGTTGCCCTACATTATTAATGTAAAATGATGATCCCTAGAAATAACTGCTTTACAAAATCAACTTGAATTTTGTTTTCATCTTTTACATAGTTAACTATAACATGTTTAAGGCCATCTCTTGCTACAGAAATCTTAGCCAACATACTGTTATGTTTGCCTTATAGCTATCTACCTTCATCTTTGTATCAAAGTCAAAAACTTTACATCAAAAGTAAACCTGTCCTACCTAAGTATTGTTATTCCTATCACCCAGAAACTCTATCAACTATTTTATTTAACTTAAAATTTCAAATTCGTATTGGGAATTTTTTAGTTGCCATTTCCCTTAATCCATTACTTTTATTCTTATTTGTTTGTGAATACATTCATATAATACAACGATCTCATTTATTCTATTTAAATACATAGTTTTCTTTCATTAAATTATATTGATCAATTGAAATGTTGTTGTTAATTATTTTATATAAATATTTATTTTGATTTATTAATTAGTTCATTTTAGAATTTATTAACAAATCTAATTTCTAATATATTAATAATTTCTTTGTCTAATTTTGTTTCAAGTCTTTTATGATATTGATACTTTAGTTATTTCCCAACATGCATTTTTTTGTAATGATTATTTTATGTTGGATGCAATTATTTTTTATGCATTTTTTAATCAATTTTAAATTTCAAAATTTTAATAAAAATTCAATTAATAAAAAATAATATTAGATTGTAAATTTTCAATTTTTAACTCTAACTACACGATTGTAAGATTGTAAAAGGTATCTCTTATAAGGCATAAAATTTTGCATTTATTAACATATGTGTGTTTTTTTTTTTCTTTTTTTATTGAATGAAAAAAGGATATAAATTTTGAAGAATAAAAAGGTTTAAGACATTTACGTTTTTTCGAGGGCAATTTAATGACAAAACTCCATTTAAAATTTTTTTCTACAATTATTTTTTATTAATAGATTCTTTTCTTTTCTTTCTTCGTTATATAGAAATTTTTTAAAGTTGAATTTCATATTAACTTTTTAGCATGATTGAATTGTTGTTAAATTTTATAGTTCAATTATTTACTTTTTATTTTCTTTAATTAATTATTTTATAGCACTAATAATTAGTGAACTTTCATTAGAATTATTTATTTTTTTGGTTATCAAAATTTTAAAATTGTTGTTCAACATGCAATAAATTTAATTTTCTTAAACTCTTTTTATTTGTTATTTGTTATTTTATTTTTAAAAAATTATTATAAATTAAAATTGTCATCTCGTACATCACACGCACTTAAATCTAGTTGGACTTAATTGTTGAGTCCATTTTATGGATTATTTTTTTGTTTCAACTAAACTCCAACAAACTGCAAAGAACATTAAAGATAAATACCAAGTTTATTAAAATTTAAAATGTAAAATTTAATAACAAAAAGATTTTTATAGAATTTATGTTATAAAATGAATTAAAAAATTAGTGGCAGGTCAATCATCAGAAGACCATGGAAAATGTGTCATAGATACATGATACATCCTTCCCAAGCATTAGAGTCTGTGTAAGACCATGGAAAATGTGTCATTAGAGTTTGTGTAATTTAATTGTTAAATACAAATAGTAAAATTTGACATAATAAAAAATTTATTGAAAGAAATCATCTTTAGACTTTGAAAAAATATAAAAATGGAAAGATGATCCTAAATAATCATTTTATCTTTTTAATTAATTTTATATTTAATTTAAAAGTATTGGTTTTCAACCATAAATTTAAGTGAAAAGACATTATTAATCTTTAAATAAAATGATGAGACATTTCATTATTTTTTAACCACCGAAAAAGATATTTTCCCATAAGTATTATTAGTAAGTGCCCTCAGAGAAAATAGTTGACTTGAAAGAAAAGGAAGGAAAGAAAATGGAAGAGGCATTGCTAAGTAGAAAAGAAGAAGAAAGATGGAAGATAACATGGAGTGGCTTTGGGGAGGAGCTAAAGAAGATGAGCTACATGGCGGTGCCGATGATGGCGGCGACGGTGCTGGAGTACCTTTTGCAGGTCATATCGGTGACGATGGTTGGACACCTCGGCGAGCTAGCTCTTTCCGGGGCTGCCATAGGTTCCTCCTTCGCTAATGTCACTGGCTTCAGCTTTATTGTAATGTTTCTCTCTTCTTTCCCTCTGGGTCTTTTTCACTTGCAAATTTTCACTCATGAGCATCTACACACTTACAGTTCATAAAATCATTAGTGATTTGAAAGGGAAATCAATGTAGTTCATCAGCTAAACCCTGAATTCTTCTTTTAACAAAGGAGATAAAAAGTTCATGTAACACAACTCAAATAATCTACTTTTAGTTATCAGAGAAATATTGCTGACAATCATATTATCTGTTGATAACATGTTGAATTCTTTATTTTTATGATCATGGTTAAATTTCTTACAACTTCAAGCTCAAAAAATAGTGTTAACAGGTGTTTGATGAGACCTACAAATGTGTAAAACTTTTTTATATATTATTTAAATTATTTTTAATTACTTTTTATAAGCCCCCACAGATTCTAATTATTATAATAAAAAAATTTATGTATTCTTTTCTCCCCTAGGAACCTATAAAGATTACATTAGATTTAGCAAGTTGCCTGTCTAAATGCATTTAAAATAGCCTAACTCGTGAAACGTTTGTTAAATAAAAAATTTGTTGGGCACTCAAGGCTTGATTAAATTTGAGAAGTCCAAAAACGTTTCCACACCCACTCTTTAAAGTTACATATCTAAAATTTATGTCATGTACGATTTTTTCTTTTATTTACTTTACTTTAGTAGAAATTTATCTTAGCTAATTCTGTCCCCTTTTGTC